TGACTTCTATGCCTGTTTCCTCATTTCAAACTGGAGAATAGGGCACCTAACTCAGGCAGTGAGGATTAAATACAAATACATGCTATAGTTTATTATTTTAAAAAAGTAGCAAATGATGTAAATACAAGCATCACATGTAGTCCTTCCTTCTAGTTTGTTCTCCTTTTCAAATACTAACATCGTACCAACATCTTCCACCTTCTACATACTATCACCTAAAGAGTCACAAATATAAATGTTCTAATTACATATCTATTATAATTTCCTAGAGTTACACTTTGCTACTTTATATTTTGGGTTTTTTTACACTTTGGTGTTGTAATAAATGTAATTCACTCTCTTTTGAAAAAGACACGACACTATACTACAGTCTTCTCAGGGGTTTGAGATATACTGCTTAACATTAAAGGTGGTCTCTTTTTTTCCTACCATCAAATCTATACAGTACATTTCTTTGGTTCTGCAATAAATATATGTCACTCTGATAGTCATAATCCAAGGAATCTTACGTGATTTGGTCTGATCCCGACTTTCCAAATACAGAACTAAATACAAAAACTAGGATTTGATCACTACTTTATGAAACAACACGGATCAGTAGAAGCATTTCCCTCCCTCTTCTTCTGCATTCTATCCAGACAGTTGGTAGAAAATTATCCCTAAATATTATTTATACTGACAAATGTTTTTACGTAAAATACCAGTTACTCTTCTCCTTAGAAATCAACTAATAACCAACCAAAAGTTTCCTTCACTTTCTTACTGATCAGATAATCCTTTTATATGTATCTCTAAAAGGTCTCTCCAATTAACACAACTCATTACACATCCACTTATCTTGACACTATGCTGATTATTTTACTATTGTTTTTCTGGAGACAGGGTCTCACTACATACTGCAAGCTGGCCTTGAATTCACATATTTTGCCCTAGACGGCCTCAAATTCACGACAATCCTCCTGCCTCATCACCCCTAGTGCTAAGATTTATGGGGGCATGCAACCATGCCCAGCTATTATTTGATTATTAACTTTATTCCACTTTTCAAAATTTATTCATAGTACACAAAATCTTTGCAGAGGCAATGGGAACAAGGCTGTTACTAGGAAAAAAGAGCTCATTTTTGGAACAGAGAAAAATAGTCTAACATAATGGTAGATTTAATGATTTTCTACCCATAAGGAAGAATTCTACCTTTAACTAAATATATTAAAAGATACAGACACACAGTATGTAAAACAACTTAAGAACATTCAGTAAAATGTGGTAAGACATATATCCAAGACAGATTTTTCCACTGATTAAATAGAATTTGTTATTCAGAATTATAACTAGTTTCACAAGTATGGTCAATAGGAAGAGCTCAATAAACATTTATTTAAATCCCTGGTATTCTTCTACAACTCAAAAGTTTTCAAGTCATCGTCTTTTTTTTTCCCCTCTTTGGAGACAGGGTTTCACTATGCACTTCATGCTGGCCTTCAACTCACTTTATAGCCAAGGCTGCCTTCTAACTCACAGCAGTCCTCCTGCCTCAGCCTCCTGAGTTCTGAGATTACAGGCATTAGCCACCATGCCTGGCTTCAAATCTTCTTTAAAAGGTACAGACATAGCCGGGTGTGGTGGCAAACCCCTGTAATTCCAGCACTCAGGAGGCTGAGGCAGGAGGACCACTGCATATTCAAGACCAGCCCAGGATATACAGTGAGCTCAGAGCCAGCCTACACTGCATAGCAAAACCCTGTCTTAAAAAGACAAAAAAATAAATAAATAAATAAATAAATAAATAAATAAATAAATACATGCTAAGAATTTAACAAATTCAACCAATACCTGTTACTGTATCAAAATTAAAATGTACATAGGTTTTTTTTTAAAAATACAGATTTTACTCACATTTGATTCTTTGCTGCTTGCCTCTGAGCTTTTCTTTCTTTCCTTTTCTGATCTGGTGGCTTAGCAAATACAATTTCAATATTTTCTCCTTCCAAATCTTTGCCATTCATTTCTTCCATAGCCTTAAAAAAATGAGATAATCATCAATATAAAAACAATCAGAACTAATGCATTTAAAAGTTAAAAAGCTATCACCATTACTTGGATGATAGCCTCACTCAGTGAGATAAACAGGACAGCTGAAGTTTTATGTAAAGATTCAGCTCATCAACAAATTTTTAACTTAAGAAATGGGCTAACTCACTAAGGCCACTGAAAGTTTGCTTCAATGCATTTAATAACCTCTTTATTTCCTCTAATTTTTAAAACACACTAGTTTTAAGACAAAAAAAAGTTAGTCGAATTTAGATCCACTATTTATTTACCTTGACAGCACCATCTCGTTCATCAAAATGAATAAAAGCATAATCTTTTAGTTTCTTCACTCGTTCCAATTTCCCAAACTGACTAAATGCCTTTTCTAAAATCTCTTCTGTTACAGTATTGGCAAGGTTGCGTACAAACAACACTTTTACCTGAAAAACAACAAAAAAAAACAAATCCCCTGAACATTTTCCAGAGTTCACTTTTCAAGACCCCAAACTGCAAAGTTAAACTTAAATCACTATCAACACAAGAATTACAAAAAAAGAAAAGTTTTCAATTCCTCTGGGTAAATACCAAGGAAAGACTACTGATCAGGTTAAAATCTGAAATAGGCTGGAGCACTAGTGTACACCTGTAATCCCAGCACTCAGGAGGGTGAGGCAGGAGGATCACTGAGTCTGAGACCAGTTTGGGCTACACAGTGAGTTACAAGCCAGTCTGACAGCATTAACTACATGGCAAGACGCTGTAACAAACCAAAACAAAACCTAACTCAACCCACAAAACAGGTGTTACCAAAGAAGACATACAATGACAAAGCAACTTATGAAAAAAATGTCCAGTATCATTTATTATTAGCAAGTTAAAACAAAAGTGAGGTAAACAGTAGACATCTATTCAAAACACCAAAAGCCAAAATACACACCAAATGTAGGTGAGGATGCAAAGCAACAGAAATTTTATTCATGCCAGGACAAGTGAAAAATGGTGCAGCCGATTTGCTAGTTTGGCAACTTATTACAAAACTAAACATATTCTTGCTATACATTCAGCAATCTCACTCCCTGGTACGTTCCCAAAGGAGCTGAAAATTTTATCCACACAGAACTTGCACACAGACGTTTGTAACAGCCTTATTCATAATTAGCAAAAACTGGAAGTAGCCAAAATATCCTCTAGTATGTGAACAGAAAAGTTGGTACGGAATAAAATTTTCAACACTATAAAAAATTAATCAGAGCTGGGTGTGGTGGTGCACACATGTAATCCCAGTACTCCAGAGCCTAAGCTAAGAGGATCACTGTGAACTAGGAGCCATCCTGGACTACATAGTTCAAGGCCAGCCTGAACAACCTGAGAACCCATCGCGAAAACAAAATAAACAAATGAATCATAAAGCTACAAAAAATACATGAAGGATCCTTAGTGCCTACTGCTACATGGGAAAAAAAATCTTCATACTATCTGATTACAACTGTATGACATTCTGAAAAGGCAACACTATGAAGAGTTTTTAAAATGTCATCATTGTCAGGGACTGGGAGGTCGGAAATGAACCAAAGAAACTGGGAGCTCTCCTCTTTCTCAATTTTTGCTTCCTGGGAACTGTCTTCCCCTGCCACATATTCCCACAACAGGCCCAGAAGCTAAGGAGCCAAGCAGCCATGGACTGAAACCATGAAGCAAAGTATCTTTCCCCTATGAAGAGGGAAGAGCTGATTATCTCACACATTTCATTACGTATTTGTCAAAAACCTGTAAGAGTACACCAAAAGTAACGTCAATTCAAACTGTTGGCTTTTAGGTGCTCAATGTTGTTTCATTAAAGTTTTACAAATGTACTACCTACAATACAGGATGCTGACATGGCTGGGTGGGAGAATTCTCTACACTTCCTGTTCGATTTAGGTATAAACCTTGTTGTGATAGTCTATTTAAAAAGACAAATGCAGACTATACACTTTTTAATACATTAATAATGATTGTGCAATCAAAAATAGTTATTTTATAACAAAGTGAATGCCATGCCCTCTACCACTGCTGACTGTCTAACACCTAACAGAAGTGATCAAAATTAATTAAGACCTGGTTTTTTAAATCTTAGGAGAAAGTGTTAAAATACTGTCAAGTAGCTAATGAGATAGTTGTGACAGAGCACTTGCCTACCAGATGTGAGGTCATGGGTTCAATCCCCAGCATCACTGAAAAATAACCCACCAAAAACAAACACACACACACACACACACACACACACACTCAATTCTGAAAGCTTCTCAAAACACACTTAACTTTTTATCTAAGAAACATTATCCCTTGTTCCTAAAATATTTAACTTGCTTAACTGTAACCCCATGAGTTCTACAGGCCAGAGAGAAAAAACAATCCCAAGTATTCTATCCTTAATACCATCATTCTTTAATAATATCCAGTTTTCCAAGCAGCTCACCCCTCCTCTACAGATTTAAGAATGCTACCTGTATTTGACACTAAGTAACTATTAAAAGGGATCCTTAGGGCCAGAGATATAGCTCAGCGGCATAAGTGTTTCCCTGGCAAGTCTGAGCTCATGTGTTCAATTGCCGGTAACAAAAAAGAAAAAATAAAAGGGATCCTTAGAAGATAACGCATAAAAAAGTAGAATATTTTCCTAATAATGAAAACAAAAGAAGATAACATAGACTAACTTAACTGCAAATTGCAGTAGTATAAAGTGCAAGATATGTTTATGTTCATCACAGAGTGTATCAACTGACTCCTAAAGCAGGCTGCCTAATAATAATTAAATGCTGTAACTATAGCAGTTCTGCTGTGGCCAATATAGTTCACTATTTTTAGGAATAAGACTTCTAACACAAAAACCATGTCAGCTAATGGCACCATTCTGAAAAATTTGAATGTCTCTTAGAATCTACACATTTAAAAAAAAAACAAGAATCTATATATTTTGGAAGTGAACTATCATTAAGGCATGTGGGTTAACTATTACATCATGACATTAAAATGACTAAGTGGCCCTAAATAAATCACTTTCTGTGAATATATTTAGATATAAAATGCATTTTATATGTAAGTGTATAAATGTGTGTGTCCCTAATTCCTTAATAAGAAACATTTCTCTCACCTTCCGAAATGATTAAAAAAAATGTACACAATTCATTTTATAAATTATTTTACCCTCATCCTTCTTCCATCAATTCCTCAAATATTATTTTTCACTTGACTATCATTACCTTTGCCATAACTTCAGGATCAGGATCTTCTATAGGGTCGGCCCATTCAACTGTTCCAACATTTCCCCAGACCTTGACTTTACCACTCATTAGTCTACGCCTTGCCTGGGCAGCTGTTTTGTGATCTTCATATTCAAGAAAGCAAAAGCCTCTGTTTTTTTTCTTGTCATCCGGTTGGTGGTATAAAATGACATCTGTAAGACCCTCTGAAAGTAACCAACCATTCCAGAGAAATTACATTAAAAAATAGCAAGAACAAGTAGATCAAAAGATTTGTTTTTCCAAGATCTACTTAAATACCACTATGGAAAAATAATTGTTCCTTACCTATCCACCTCCCCAAAGGACTATAAAAAAATAAGTCCGTATAATTTTCCTAATCCACCCTTGCTAAGTTTTCCCAACCCAGAAACCCCCATGAAAAGAAAATATGTTTTTTAAGAGTTTCAGGGACTACTTTTCTTTCACTAATTACATAAAAAGACAAAACTCTTTATATAATTGTTTCAAGAAAACAACAACATAGGTCAAAAATGGTCAGATATTTGTTATTATGCAAGCAAACACTAAAATTCCCTTTAGGGCCGGGAATATAGCTCAGTGGCAGAAGCACCTGCCTGGCAAGCACAAGGTCCTGAGCTTGATTTCCGGCACCAAACAAAAAAAAGTTTTCTTTAATAGTACTTTTCTGCCCTCAGGTATCAATGGATTTTTTTTCAAAGGAAAAAATAAATATTACTAAGAATTTTAAATATTCCTAAAGATTAAAAGACTAATAAATAATACTGCAGACAGACCCAATTTAATAGTACAAGCAGCCTGCCATTTGGAAAGGATTTACAAAAGGTATTTTACATTTCACAGAAATTATATCACATTACCAATATATAATCTCTGCTTATGGCAAGAGTACTCATTATTCATAACTTGGAAAAATTCAAATCATCCATACAGCTCTACTAAGAGAGATCAGCTAACACCTAGAAAAATACACAAACACACAACTGCAAAATAAGGGAAGAACAATGATGGTTTTTCAGAATAAGTTCAAATTTTGACTGCATTACTCAGATGCTTTGGATAAATAAATAACGATGAACAAGTCATTTTCCCAAACTCTCTCCCTTTGTGCTTGTTTTCCTTATCCAAAGGATGGGATTACCTACCTCATAAAGTTGTAAAGATTCAATGAGTCAACAAATGTAGTGCTTAGAATAATGTTGGGAACACAGTAAAACTTGCTATTACCTTCATTATTAAAAAGCTGCCCCTTCTTCAAAATAAATCCAACTTACCCGTTACTTTGCTAAATTCTTCAAGAATCTGTTCCTTAGTTTTACTCTTAGGAATAGAGCCCACAAAAAGCCTATTGTTGGCAACTGAGATGCAGACACCAATGTGTTTTCCAGAACGAATTTCATGATTATTATACTGAAAGGGGGGGAAAAAAAGTGTACCATGTTTTAAAATCACTGATGTCAATTAGGAATGTTTATTACAGACTATCCCAAGATCTAATACAACAAAACTTTAGTAAATTAAAATTTCCAGTTTATCAAGTATTAAGCTTTCCTTTTAACCAGTACATAAACCTATTTTCCATTTCTACTTCATCTTTTATCAAGCAGCAATTAATTTCAGGCTTCTCATATTTAAAAAAAGACGTCTTTTATTCTAAATTCAATGCTGTATTTTTCCCCATTTCATCTTCATCAGGCATACAATAAAATCATCAACAGGTTTTGGTCAAAGTACGAAACTATTAACTACAATGAAAATTAAACTTTTTTTTCTGGTTTTCTGAGACAGGGTCTTGCTTTCCCATGCAGGCTTGCCTTGAACTCACTACACAGCCCAGGCTGGATGCAAATGCCCAGCCATCCTCCTAATCCTTCTGCCTCGGCCTCCTGAGTGCTGGGATTACAGGCGTGCACCACCACAGCTGGCTTTTAAATAATACTTAAAAGTAAGCATGTCCTACAGAATGGTGAGACATTGGAGAGCAGACAAAACAAGCCCTGCCAAACATACATCTACCAATCAGTATAATGAACAACTCAAAGCTCAACAGTGTCCAAGTTTATCTGCAAAAGTCAGTTATATGCATATTACATAGTAAAAACTACCTTTAAGTTTTATGTTCATAATAATGATGGTGGCAGCAGCAACAGTTATTGATTACCCTCCCCACAAACACCTGACCTCAAAAGCTATTTCATGGAGTTACACAAACTAAGAACCAACATGAATGTCCACGCAACCTATAAAATAGCAAAACAGAAACACCTCATCAACCATGAGTGGTAGCGCACACCTGTAATCCCAGCACTCAGGAGGCTGAGGCAGGAGGATCGCTGGAAGTTCAAGGCCAGCCTGGGCTACAAAGTGAGTTCAAAGCCAGCCGGAACTGCATAGCAAAACCCTGTCTTAGAAAAGACAAAACAAAACAAAAAACAAAACACCTCATCATCCCCATGCTTGCATAATAAATACATCACATGTAATAGAAAAAGCATGTAGTTCAGTAGGTCAATTCCTCCCAATACCTTTTATATCTCTGGATAACAAAATTGACACACTGTACCCTCTACTTCAGAGCAGTTTTGTTCTTTCTATGCTGCTCAATTGAAGTATCCAACTCTGGTCATCCATTCCCCTGGCTCACCTGTTTCTCTGTATTTATGCCAAAACATGATCTTTTTAAAAATTGTTAATTTTGCCTATCGAAAGAAATTTCAGCCAGACGTGGTAGTGCACTCCTGTCATCCCAGCACTCCAGAGTCTGAGGCAGGCGGATCATTGGAAGTTTGAGGCCAGCTCGAGTTACAAAGTGAGTTTAAGACTAGCCTGAACTGCATAGTGAGACCCTGTCCTAAAAAAAAGAAATTTCTTTTCTTTTCTTTTCCTTTTTTATCCTCTTTTTCCCTTTTTTTGACACAGGTTCTCAGTATGAAGTTCAGCCTTGAACTCACTATGTAGTCCAGGCTGGCCTCAAACTTGCAGCAATCCTCCCGCCTCAGCCTCTCAAGTGCTGGTGGAAGAAATTTCTTGGGAGCTGCATATCAACAAAGAGATAAAATTCCCAAACTTAAACGCAGTAAATCCATCCTAAAACTCCTAGCTACTTTCCCCTTCTTCCCACAACAGCTGTATATGCCACTCTTACACTTCTAAGGCTCTGAAAAAAGGTCTCCCCTAAAACTTCTACCATTCAAACTCCTCCAACTACCATAAATTAAGCTCTGACTACTGTGTCCTTCTGCTAGTATTGTCTCAGAGGCCAAGTAGAGGGCAAATACATTGGTAAATATCTTACCACTGACACAGGACAGCTAGAAAACAATTATCTAGTATAGAACATCAGTGCTGTTGATAAATACTATTTATTTATTTTTTGCAGTGCTTGAGGTTAAACGCAGAGCCTCACATATGTTAGGCGAGCGCTTTACCTCTGAGCTTCATCCCCAGCCCTAATCAGTAGTGTTCAGGTTGAAAAGACTGTCTCATGTAACATTTAGTTTATTTATCTCAGCTCCATTAGAAGAATCTCATAAACAAAAATATTCATGTTACCTAGAAACAGTGGAACTACTGGTTAAAATCTTTCACTGCATGAAATTAAAGACAAGCAAAAACCAAAATGTCTTATTTTACAAATAAGATTAACCTAACAACATAATTAAATTGCTTTGAAATGTGTACTACTACATATTCATATTCTAGCATCAAATAGTAACCTTACATGACATTATCAAGAGCATTCAATTTGCTCAACTAATCTGTAACTAAGGACTGAAAAACACAACAATTAAAATATGAAACCAGGCCAGAGGTGGTGGCATGCACCTGTAATTCTAGCGCTCAGGAGGCTGAGGCAGGAGGACAGCTGTGAGTGTAAGGCCACCCTGAACTACACAGCAAGGTCCCTGTCTCAAAAAAAATTTTTTTGAAAAAAAAAAAAAAAAAAAAATTAAGCTAGACTGGGTGATAAACACGCATAAATCAAGATACCCCAGACACTGAGGCAGGACAGTTTCAAACTCAATACCATCTTGGAAATTTGGTGACACTGTCTCAAAATAAAAAGGGCCGGAGATGTAGCTCAGTGCAAGATCCTGGGCTCCATCCCCAGTACCATCAAAAATAAAAGATTAAAAAAAAAAAATTTTAAAGGAAGATAAACACAAGAGTACTTTGAGGATGACAGAAACTGATACCCTTGGGCTATAACTACTTGTTAGATCTTTCTTGCATATCTGTTCTCCTGAGAAACCACTTTGAAGATACCAACATGTATTACAGCAACCATTGATAATTTCCTACCAATCTGTCCATAACTCTCTAATGTTTGTATTGTTCCTATGCTATTTTGTAAACAGATGTACGTTTATTACTATGTGTTTTCAACAACAACCAAAAAAAAAAAACCTGCTATGATGGAGTGGGGGTTCCCAACTGTACTAAGCACAGTAAACTATTCACTTAAGAAAATACCTAACTTTAGGGCAGGCGTGGTGGCATGCACCTGTAATCCCAGCACTAAGAAGGCTGAGGCAGTAGGATCACCACAATTTGAGGCCAGCCTGGACTACATAGTTCAAAGCCAGTCAAAACTACATAGCAAAGGGCTGGGATGTGGCTCAGTGGTAGAGTTCTTGCCTTGCATGACAAGGCCCTGGGTTCGATCACCAGCACCACAAAGAGCAAATAAACAAAAAAAAACTACAAAGCAAAATCCCATCTCAAAGAAAAAAAAAGAAAATATTTGACTTTTAAAAAATTGAATTCTAACAACAAAATACTACTGAAAGCAACTAGCACCCTTAAATATCTAGGAAGCACAACCAACACAACAGGAAATGAAAAAATTCCGTAAAGGTGATGAAAACAACAGAGAAATATAGGGAGGACAGCTGTTAGACTAAGAATGGCCCCAAAAAGCCCTACGAGCTCAGAGGCAGGGCTTCTAGAGGATGACTGGACTATGGGAGTGTTACAGTGGTTTACTGCTGGGGTGTAGGGGGACACCCTGGTTAGAGGCAGATCACTGTGGGTGTCACCTGGAAAGGTATGCAGTTATCTCCTTCCCCAGCTACTCCCTTCTCAGCTTCCAAGCCTCCACACTGTGAGCTGCTTTCCTCCCAGGCAGATCCTTCCTCCATGCCCTTCTTGCCTTGCACTTGGCTGACCATGCAAGGACTGAGACTTCTAAAATTGTGAGCCAAAATAAACTCTCCTTTAGACTCTGAGTGTCAGGTACTATCTCACTAACATGAGAAGCGATTAATACAACACCATATCTATAATGTAGCCAATAATTCTATTCATCATCAACATTAACAATGCTACTTCTAAGTAAGAATGACTTTTCCATCATTTAGAGCAAACACCATTTCTTCTAATCCATCATTATTGGCTCTGCTAATCAAAAATTAATCAAGGCAGGGTATATAAATGGTGTAAGACTAAGCTCTCAGATACATAACCCAAAAATTTAGTGTCATAAAATAACACCACTTTTCCATCCACAATCAATGAAATTATTGAAAAACTGGCTCTCCAATGTAAGTCATTAAAAGAACAAGATAAAAACACTCCATGAGCATACTTTAAAAAAGAAAAGAGTACCTAGAAGTAAACATTTCATAAGGAAATGCTCTATGTACTGAATAAAAAATGTGCAGGGCTGGGGATTTAGCTCAGCGGCATAGCGCCTGCCTGGCAAGCGCGAGGTCATGAGTTCGATTCCCAGTACCAGAAAAAAAAAAAAATTTGCATTTTTCCAACACTGGAAAGTGAACCCAGGACCTAGCACTTACAAAGTAAACTATGCATTTTTATTTGTTTTTTTTGTTTTGTTTTGTTTTGTTTTGTTTGAAAGAAGATCTTACTATGTAGTCCAGGCTAGCCTTGAACTTGCTCTATAGCCGAGAGTGGCCTTGAGGGTGGCCTTGAACTTGTAGCAGTCCTCCTGCTTCGGGCTCCCAAGTGCTGGGATGACTATGTAGTCCAGGTGTGTGCCACCATGCCTGACTGCATTGTTAAATGTACTGTGGTACCTCAGTTTAAAAACTTAGTAACTAATTCCATGATTTTGGAAAAGATGTCAATTCATGCTTGTGCAGGAAAGATGGCTCTGGTCACGTTTGTCACCTGATGCAGAGATCGCAAACAAAAACAAAACTTTGCTCAGTGCTTTTCTTTGAAAACCAACTTTTCTTACATTTACATTAAATTTTAAATTAAGAAAAGAAAAAAAAAAACTCTTCATTCCAGCAAGTAGGTAACACTTAAAATGGTGAAGGGGTGGCCAGGCATGGTGGCATACTCCTATAATCCAAGCATTTTGAGGCTGAGGCAAGATCACCATAGGTTGGAGTCTAGTCTCAGCCTAAACTATATAGTGAGATAGACCCTGTCTCACCACAGCA